AAGAGGCTGCTGGTAATCGATGAGGACTCATCATGCTTTAGACTTCATGTGTCAATTTTAGTCTTCTTTCTCTCGAGTAATTAGTAGGTCGAAGTATATGCAAATCAATACAGAGGCCTTGAGTGTAGCCTTCGCACAATACATGCAAATATTACGGTCACGTGACTCAATAACAACAGGAACTTGCTTCCAACAAGATTACAATCAAGATGTCTATATTCAAATCGAGAATAGAAAAGGATGTACCCATATAGATCTATCTATCTATCAAAAGGCCTCTAGGATCTACGCTATATATTAGATCTAGAATCACGGCTGAAATTCTGTTTCCACTATACTGACATCGTTTGATAAGTAAAAATCTATCAAGCGTCTGAGTTTGTCTCGTATATTTCCGTTCGTAGAGACTAATAGAAATTAGTTCGCGTAAACTAAAACTGAAAAGCCGGCACATTACCCATCACAAGTAGCTTCCCATACTCACTCCTTACGGTACATGACTTTACTATTGCTTCCTCTGAAGCTTTAGAGGCCATAATAGTATTGTTGACTAGAGAACCCTGATATAGAAAAGCTCGGTCATAGTAATCGAAGGGTAGATTTTCTTGGCTTTATAGTAATGAGTAATACGACTCCAATACCCAGCGGAGACAATAATCTACCAGGTACACCTCCAACTCTCCCTCCAACTCTCTGTGTAGCCCATCTCTTACCATTGCTGGACATCTTTTTAGCCATAAAAAAATAAGAATTCTTGCTTAGTCCCTGATAAGCCGTATCTCACAGCTCGTCACCAATCCATAAATAACCTACTTTGCCCAGAGCAATGTTCATCATATTAGAATTTCTTTCAACGCTCTCCCAAAGAAATTTCTCGACATGGCCGAATCCCTTCTTAGCTACCTGACGACACGTAACCCAACTGTCCTCGCGTTCGCAAGACCGGCACCGAGCTTCACCTTTAATTACGATTGGGACCCAATTGAGAACATAAGAGAATGGTCCGATTTCAACTACAATAACCTCCAATCACTGTTCAAGGATGAGTTGAGCCGCTCTGTGTCTCCGTTTAATACTACCGTCAGCTGTGAAAATGGGGGCTATAACAAAATATTTGATGAACGGGGCCTCTCTGATCTCATATGCATGTCCATCATGGGTCCCGTATCGGCAGTGCTTCCTTCCGATTCATTTACCACGTCTGCCGGACGAGTTACGCAGCACCCTGGATGCGTCCCTGACTGGGCTGCTGGGAAGGAGGGGGTAGGAAGGTCTAAAGCTATTGTTCTTGGTGACACAAAATTCAACTGGTCATCAACCAACGTCTTCAATGTTATCCAGGGCGCGAAAAACAAGACATATGAAGATTCACCATCAGTTGATCTGGTGAGACCTATTGAGCAAGTCCAATATTATGGTGCTGTTTACGGATGTCGGTATGTGTATCTTATCAGCGACCAAGAGCTCGTGGTTATGCGGCTCCACTTGGCCTCGACCCACATTCGAACATCACCCAGACCTCAACGCACTCGCCCACCACCCTCGCATCAACGGGTGACGTCTTCTTCGACGATCTCTAAGCAGTTGACGGACATGTCTATTGATGAGTCTTGTTTCAAGGCTAGTATTGGACTTGTGGAATACAAGGAAATTCCTTGGAACGCGACTAGCGGCCTCACGATCAAGATGGCGTTGTATTGCCTTGTTCGTTTAGCAGACAAGTATGGAAATGATCTCAAACACGACTACCCCTCTTTGGCATCTAAAGTGGAGCCATCCGTTCCACAAAGTCTTTCGTCAACTACTATACCGAGTTCACAGCCGCGAAACCCCATACCAACAGCGAGCACTGTTGGCAGCACACCACAAACGAGCAACAACCCAGCAAACAAATACTACACAACCACTCTAATATGGAACACGACTCGGACTGCTTACATCTACAAAGCGAACGATGGCAAGTATGTTACTGATGATTCACCATCAAAGTGGCGGGTAATTGGAGACAAAATCTACAAATTCGAAGGATTTCCGCCATATCCGTGCTCGGATATACCCCGCTGATTTTCTTGCAATGAGGTTAAACTACTGTTCAACATAGGATGGTGTGGCGGACTCCAATCATCATGATACCTCCGTTCAACACGGTCTGGAACTTGGTTACATACGCATGATATAAAGACTTTACGTCCAGGCTTGACGCAACTTCTATGACGTTTTTCATCCCAATTTTCTATTTTTTTTCACTTATATGTACGTCCTGAGTCTGCACCATGTTTTCTTTTACTTACATTCATATCAGAAAACAAGGTTTATGAAATTTTCATAACGCAGATTCCGAGACACACATTGTACTCGTTTTGCTTAGTATGCTCTCTGCACAGATTGATTATTACGGACCCATATTTTTTGTTCCTTAGCTAGAAAACTTTATCACCTAGGTATATTCTATTTTATATATAAAGCCACTTCTGCCTGTATGCACCACAGCCATCATTTTCGCTCGCCAGTCATGTTGCAATAGACTGTGCAAACCGTTGTAGAGGGACTAAAACTAACAGGGAAAGATTTCCCATCTATCTCCATGGCCTTTGCTACATTGAACACTTCTCCTTCGTCACCATCCTCAATCCTGTCCTGGTGCTCTCATTTAAAGTACTTTGCAATGACCGCATGTGTTGTGAGAGATAAGCCCGCTTCGCCTCCATAATACAACTCAGTTTACGAAGCAAAGAATTATGATAAGACCACTCGAGTTGCGTCCAGAGTCAATGTATATCCGAAAAAATTGATACCCTGCCAGATTGTTTGTTTACAGAATTCGCATAAGAATACACGATTACATACGCCGGCCGTATAAATTAAACCACTCGGTTACGTAATCGCCGAGTAGACCCTGAATGGGAATGATCTTCTCTCACGGAATTAAAGTAAATTTCTCACTCCTACGCCCACCAAAGTACCATCACTCGGTTTCCGGTTTCAATGAGCGACTAGATCGTATATTCGCCCTGTACAGTCGAGGTAAGCCAATTTGAAATCATGCTTCGATGATCGCCTCTTACCGTCAAAGTGGCGTTTTTGTCTCATCGCTATCTAAAGAGCAATGATCTAGGATCTCTGTTCTCGTCATAATAATATAAAAAAAACAGCCTTCTTACAATTCGTTGTCTTAATCCTCCGCTATTCTAGATTTTTTTTCCAAACTCGGCTCGACTGAGAATTGTTCCAGGCCTGTTTGCTGCGATAAAGGTTGAGCAAATCTTTCGCAGATTATCAAGTCCAGCATAGTCAGATTCCGTCTTCAATGACGCAAACCCCCACAAATGGGGTACTAAACAAAGTATGAAGCGAGAGACCTCCAATTTCTCAATCACTTCAAATTGCGGCTCACAGCTAAATGTGATTGACTGAGGTTGGGTTTTGTCTTCACCAAAGACTGCCCAAACTGACTCATACTGACATAAAGACCCGCCCCGACGAATATGCCAGCAGAGGTCAGAGTTTGGGCAGATGGCTTCCAGAAAGGGGAAAATGGAATTCAAGGTCGGCATCGAAAAGCCTAGCATAGTTAATAACCATAATCCAGGATCTGGGAAATATCAACGAAGACTGACCGTCAGGGCGATAGGGAACTTTCAACATAATTAATTCTAACATTTGGGTTTCTTCATCTAGAGACTGCCAGAGTGCATTATCAACAGAAGAAGTATGTTCAGAGCCGAAGTCGATAATTGAAGCTTGACGGTTGAAATGTATCAGATGGGAACGAAGATCTCGTGAGGAGGCTCTGGATACATGTCAACGACAATATGTAATATGACGACTTCTTTCATACCGATTGAGGATGTGCAGAAAGACACGTTCACGTTCACCCTCTGATATCATGCTTAAAGGTCGAAGTCTTCCGCCACACACTCGGAAGGGCTGCTTCATAGAAAAAGTGTACGATTCGGAGAAATCGTATAGAACTGTATCGTAAATGTCATTGGGAAGTCGAAAATGGAAATCATGGATGTCGCCATGGGTTAAACCAATTCGATGCAGAGCATCTAGGCGACGAAGTCGGTCTTTGAGTAAAGAATGATACCACTGTTGCTCGAATGGGCTCAAAGTAATCACTCCAGGGGTGGTAAAAAATCTTTCAGACAGTGTTCTTAGAATAGTTAAGAAACTTTCAGACTGGTTATTAACAAGTTCACTAAGAACACGTCGAGAACGCAAGTCCGGTTTTATAGCCTCTACCACAATCGCTCGTTCGTGGTAATATCCAGAAGTAAATCGGGATTTTGGTATATCGGTGATCACTCCGTGAAATTGTGGGAAATAGATTCTTTCGCGTGCGGAACAGTATAGATCAATATGGCTGTATGCCCGAGCCTCCCGATAAAATCTGTCGAACTCATTCATAGCATCGTTGATTAGATCGGGAGTCAGCGGTGCTCCAATACGATGAAGCTGTATTTTAGCGTCTTGCTCAGAATAGCAAGGAAACTGGTGTACGATTAATCGGAGCACGCGTATAAAGATCATCTCCACTTACGACTTTCGCGATATATTTTCTGTGTCCTCTGATGCGAAGCCAAAACACCTGTATTGTGTTCGCATTCGACACTCTTGACTTGTCGGCCTTGGTTCCTAGTTCCCAGCTGTTGTCTTCAGCACGGAAAGATCGGAATTTTTGCCCCTCAAGTTCGCTTGCTTTCAGTATGTCTGGACGACTGCCAGAGAAAAAAAGGTTCATCCAGTTGACGTCTTCCCCCATGGCAGGCGTTCCGACTGATGCAATAAAATATAGAGATGATCCTGCACTCGCTTTGAAGTCAGTCGCGAAAACAGTTAACACGAGAATGTGTTGAAGTTGATGGATAAAGAAAGACGCCGCCAGAAATTCTGGTTGTCATGTGAGATACACCCGTCTTATCCGCGTATTGTGTCACCCATTCATTCCCATCTTTCCCTCCATCTTTCCCTCCATATTTTTTTTCATATCTCCTATCATGGTCAAGCCTGTTAGACAAAGGCCGCCACGCAAGCCACTTACCACTACACAGGCCTGGACTAAAGTAGAGACCACCGCCTACCGTCTTGGCGCTGCCGAGTATCTTGGAAACAAAGACTCCAACCGTATTTCCAAAGCATTTCTTTTGCTAAATCATCCGCCACAATCTACCAGTCACCGAAAATATCGACTCTTTCTTCTCCGGAAAGAAATATGCGGCCCTCAAGGCTTACGCTTGTGCGCCGTCGCGCTTGGCCATGACCATATCAGAGACACGAGTAATGGCCACCGTGATGCGCTCCTCGATAAGCTGGGCGAGATGAGACACCAGCCATTGATCAAAAACTCGTCGTTTCGCTCGGACGATACCCAAGAAGATGGACCATTGAATGGTAAGCATTGAACTTCTAGAATTACTTGATTGCCTAAGAAGAGTGACTGACGACAATAAGAGCAAATGAACCAAGCAAAACAAATTGCTCCAGGTGACGATTACGGGTGTTCGCCATGCTCGAATTCAAATGGGACCACCACCCCTCGATCCTTACTTATCAACAATGCTGAGGCCGATCGTTCAATTGCTTCGGTCGGGGAACTAGTGAGCTCAGAGTCCAGATGGTCCCTTCCCGATGACTCTCATACTATGGAAAACAGAGAAACTGCAAGGTTCATTGTGAGTTCAAAACTCTGCTTGTTTATCATACCTCTAATTGGGTCCAACAGCAACTGTACCATATTGCCACGCAGATCAATACTTCACGCCAGTGTCAAACATCCCACAGAACGAAGGACAAGATGATATTCTCTCGAGCAATTAGTAGGTCGAAGTTTATGCAAATCAATACAGCGGCCTTGAGTGTAGCATTTGCACAATACATGCAAATGATAAAATTAGCTCATTCAAACGAGGATCCAAAGCCTAACCTGGTAGTTCAAACACACAATTATTTCCCAGTTTCCAAAAAAGTCTTAGCACCCCCCACCAAAACATAAAGATCTCATTGACAAATCTCATGTTTGTACCGTTTTCTATCACAAGAGTACCCCGTCACTTCACCCTGCAACGACTACCTAGAAACCAACCCTGACTTTGTCATATTGGCACATCAAATCACGGCTGATATTCCATTTCAACCATACTAATGTTGCTTGATAAATACCGAGTTATTATGCCTTGAATTCGATCTCGTACAGTTTCAATAGAAGAGACTGATAGAAGCCGGTTAGTGTAGAAACGATTGTTTTCTAGGCTTATTTACCCATCACAAGTGTCTTGCCGTGTTCATCCCTGACGATAGAGGACTTTGCTATTGCCTCACCTGAAAATTCAGAGGCAATTATAGCATCGTAGTCCGGAATGCCCTCGTATAGCAAGACTCGGTCGTGGCTACTTAAGGATAGATTACCGTGGTCTTGCTCGACCCTCTCGATATAGATCGAGATGCTCAGGACCTAAGGAAAGTCAGTATGAGTTATCAGCTTGTTTTTTAACCTAGCTCACATGGCCATTTTTTGAAGGGTCATGTTTCAGTAGCCTATTGAGGAGGTGTTCTGAGGATATGGCAAAGTCTGCCCAGTTAGGACTTTCCGAATGGATAGATTAGCTTTAGCCTACCAAGCTCTTCGACCTGCCAGATAAGGTGAATCCGCCGAATATGCATTGTGCGGGTGTTGTAGCCATGTATTAGCATCGAAATATAGGGAGTCACGGCGGCCAGGCCGGCGTCGCTAGCTATAAGAATAACATTTTCGTATTCCTCCACTGAGTAGGTGATACCGTGGGGCCCGGTCCATAACGCCATCAAAGACAATGAGCTAGCTGCGTCAATAGCCCTCGCTTGCCGATAAAGGGAGGCAGATTGTCCTTTCTGGGGCTGTAGTAGTAATTCAAACGTCTCTTGCTTTTCAGGTGCCCATGAGGTAACTGTCAATGGATGGCTTTGCATCCAAGATCCAAGGCTGACTGATGGTAACCAGATATTAATATACTGTCCAGGCAGTACTTTCACTGGCCTTGGGAGTGTAAGCTTTATCGTGACTGAGGTATTTCTCATTATAGCGGCGGGTTGGCAGGTCACGATAGCACATGGGGATCCACGACCAGAGAATAAACCGTTTTGATATAGAACTGTGAGGAACTGCATTGTGAGTGTAGTTGCAAAACATCCTAGTGTTAGATAAACATAAAACCTAGGGAAAAGATGTGTTGTAGGGACATGTTGCCATATCCCATAGAAGCCTAAGACAGCAAGAGCTTGATGTAGACGGAGAAAGACCTCATATGATAGCTTTCGAACTGTAGGAAGCGACAACAGCACCAAAAGCCCCAAGCTCGCACCTCCCTGGTTATCCACCTGGTTAATAATGCTTAAATAGTTCGGCAAAATCGCTCACAATTACTGGTGACCAGCCAAGAGAATTGAATATCGTTATTTCCGGGGCTTGCTCCAAAAATGAGGCTCCAATATGAAGCAGAAGCAGTCCAGTACTCATCCAGCCCATTGAACGATGTAGACGTCGAAGGTTGCCGAGAGATAATCCTAGAATGTCTGCGAGATAACTCAAGTGAATCGAACTCAAGGGTAGTAATAAATTAATTAACGACAGAACCCCCGCGCTATTCCTCACTCCTTTTAAAGAGCGGTCTTGGAACAATATAATGACCACGTGTGTGGTGATATAAGTGATATGAATAAGGCTGATTCCTCGGCTCCAGGGCCCGATCAGCCTATAACGACCAAGAACATATGGGTATGTGATATGACGCGCAACGAAGATTTGGAAAGAAGTCTTCCCTAAAAGCAGTATCTGCCAGAGCTTCATAAGTATGAGAAGTAGTATCTGCCGGAGCTTCAGAAGTATGAGAAGAAGGACCATCGAGCCTGCGATGATCGCGTAAATAGATGTCGGCTGCATATCTTATATGAATTTTTAGCGTCAGACTGACGATCAAGGAATAGTTCAAGAACGGACAGAATCAAAGCGAGACGATTTCTACTTGATGTATTCACAGGTGACCAAAAACGGGTCCCTGTGCCGGGGGTTGTTTAGATTGTATAGCGACGGCCTTCAAGACCTACCCCGCGGCATGAAAGTGGTGCGACATCACATATTGAACAATTATGAGCGCGGGAAATATAAACTCTTTCTCTTGAGATTTTTCTGATTTCATTATCAGTGAAATTTTCTCTTTTCTATCAGCTTCGTTTGTATTACTGAACATGTCCGGGTCCTCCTCAAGATCGCTAGGCGTCAGCACATCCCCTTTGACAAAGTAGGTCAAACTTTTTCGAGTTTAACAAATTGGCTTATACTCGATAGAAAGAGATTAGGGTTTCCTCACATCGGTCATCCGTCCACAAAGTATCTGACCAACTGGAGCGTACAGCAATCCGCAAGCGGCTGGCTTAGCCTTGGGAACTACTTTGGGCATTCGGCGGTTTTCATTACCAAGATCAAGGCTGACCCGATACCGCAAAGCTTTGACACACTACAGCCGGCATTTCATGTCAATATTTGCTCGGTGATCGAGGCATTTCTGGACAAAAGTTCAATATACATGGTTTACGGGTACTATGGAATCATCGTTGATCTTGCCCAAGTTGGCACGAGTCCAGCAGTGAGACTACTCACAGAGCCAGATCTTGCAAGCATATGCAGAAGCGTTCTAAATGGCCTCCAGTATATTCACAGCCAACTTGGCGTCGGACACGGAAACATCACTAGAAGCAATATTCTCCTATGCGAAAACGGGGACATCAAGATTGGTGAGATAACGTTTAGCTCACCACGTTAGAAATACCCTCTAACATCCACCAGCAAACGTGGGCACTAGCATGCTAGACCAGGTTCCTTTGTCCGAGATGGAGGCTGACTGTCGCAACGTTGGGAACCTTTTGATTGAGATGAGCGACCCCAAAGCCATCTTGGATCCGCTCCGAAGAAAAGTTCCAGCTAATCTCTCAAAATATGGTCAGCATTTTGTGACCCAGGTTGGGTCGTCGTCTTATTCATACATATTTGAGGTAAGCTTGAATAATTTCAAACATACTGAGACACTATATTCACATAAGGAATCACCTCCAAAGCATGCCTTTTTACAGCAAGCCAGTCCTGATCATCGAACGTGGCATCTGATCCCCCACTACTGGGACACCCTCGCCCACTGGGGTCCGATAATTCGATCAACAGGCAATGAGTTTCGATAGCGGTTTGGAGTACATTTATAAAGTTTACTCATTGGTCGTGAATGTTCACGGGTACAATGACGAGGGCTACATTTTCGAAATATATATATCGAGTTATCGAATAGAAGTCCTAGGAATCTCAAATTGTGCGATGATGATGTTGGTCTCGCAGCCTACTTAGTCTTTTCTTATAGATAACCACAAGTCCGCATGCCAAACTCGCTGAGAGTCCAGTAGTGATTATTGCCAAAAGAGCCATTATAGACACGTTACCATGCCGCGCGGTACACACATTGATTACCGTTGTGAGGAGGCCAGCGAAGGCATTCAGAAGGGTTGGGCTAGTGACGTCACTTGGTCAGCATAACGCAGACTAGCTGCGATAGTGGTGAATGACACACATAAAGAGCCGGTTTGCCAGCCATATATAGTTGGTACTGTGTCTATTGAACAGCCAGCCCATTATTGCCGTGCCGAGTACGAACAGAACACATGAAATGGCTAGGAGTGGTGGGTTTTGAATAGTATTGAGGATTGCACTTCCAGCAGTATTCTTAGAAAGACTGTCATTGACTGTATTCGACTTTTGCAAAGAGGTAAAGGTCCCTGGAACAACGAGATAGCCAGCCAGCAGAACCCAATTAGCCCCACTAGCGAGGATGTTATATTCCCAAGCTATTTCGTCTGCCTCCACAATCATTCGGACATATGGGGTTTCAAGATCCTCATATGATTCACCAGTTCCTTGTCGATTATTTACTGCCATGTTCAAGCACAATCCTAGTAAGAGGGTAGGTTATCGACTTTATAGGACAGATTAAGTGCCGCACCAGAATGGGAGCGCACCACTGCGCGTGGAATTAAATCATGTGACTTTGGGCTATGGCACAGAGTACGAAGATCTGACTCAGTGGCTGAAAGAGGGTACGGAGACATGTAGGCGTATAATAATAATCATTTATCAGTTCTCCTATTATTAATCAGTTGTGATATTCCTGATATAATTTGACACACTATGCAGGGAGCTTCTGCAGCTGCTTCTCAACAGCCAAAGCCTCACCAAGCAATCTTCGCCTATCTGCAAAATAGTCTAGTATGAGGTCTAACTGTGAATCATTTTCGGTAGATGGGGTCGAGATCTCTGATTCCGGGGAGATGCGAGAGCCGTAGGGATGGGGTTCGGAAATCCAAGGATGCTCCGGAGCGGGGGGATCTCGAATGAGATCAGGGTACAAGTTTTGCTGGCGGCGAGGTTAGTTTGGATGACGGAAGTTGGAGAAGGCTTCGAAAAGTACCAGGTCATCATCAGGTGGAGGCCACGATGAGCTCCCGCTAGAATTATACACATATCTCTCTCGTGAGGAGCATATGACAAGATAGACATCTGCTTTGCACAATTTTGCAAGATCTCGTGCCTTGGACTTCAGGGTACTTGTTCTCTGTCTGAGCTGCTTTCGAACAAGTCTATTTGGATCGGGACCTCCCATCCTTAGTGTTGGGATGTTTGGATTGTGGCCTTGTGAAAAGAGATTTGAATGTATTGGACGAAAAAACGTTAGCGGTTATGCTATATATTATATGTAAGGCTACACTGACATGACGCAATCTATTCAGCTAAGTATTCCGTTCCAAGGCAAAGCAGACCTTTTTAGACACCCTTGTCGATGCTGATAATTCGCGCTTGCGCCGCTGTGTCGTACTTCGTGAGGGACCACTCGCGACATCGCAGCTACTACATGCGATACGACTGGGAAGTCCGTGGTTGCTACGACCAAAAGAAGAGGTCAACCCTTGCTTAGCAGCAAAGGCGGCCAGCCTTTCCGGGAAGCCGCTCAGCCTCCAACGTCTAGTTGACGATGCTTGTAAAAACAGATCCACTGGATGGTCAATATGGTGGGCTAGAAACGATAACGGGCGAATATAGCTGCCACACGATCCACAAAGCTCATCCACGCCATTAAAATCTTCCACCACATTATTACCGGAAACGTAAGTCAACCCTTCGGGGTAAAGTCGGTTAAGAGCCGCGATAAGATCCCTAGCGGAGCCCTTGCAGCGGACAAAGCCGCGACACCAGAAAGGGGCCACAGTGTTTTGGGGTAGTTCTTTCAGTTCAAAGTAGAATCTTGAGACTAGTAGAGTGGTGGCAGCGTCTCGTGCTCTACGAGAACTTCCCGGTTGACTCAGGACCAAGTTTCGATAATCCTCCATCGTTTCCACACTGTCAATTGTGCTGGGTGTTCCGCTCAGGTCAACGTTCAACCGATGGTACTCGGATCTAACAGCGACATCAAGTTGGCTCTTCAGTCTCCTCCAATCACTTTCTGTGCCCAACGTTGACATCCATGCGTCAAATCCCCGGCGGATGAAACTATCCCGGAAAATATGGCGGAAGTGAGGGGTCGGGTTAACATCGGGCTGCGTGATGCCAGTCCCTAGAGAAAGTAATCGAGTGGACCCTATCGCCTCTGGCCAGATCAGGTGGGAGATTTGACTGGCGATCTCGCCCGCGAAATTGTGTTTTAATCCCCCGTCCTGGAAGGATCCGATTCCTTGTAGATCAGCAGGGGTAAAAAAGCTAAGAGCGAAATCAAAGCGCGAAAGTAGTTAGTTTAAATATTTAGACCAGCAGGCTAATGCATGTTGTTGTGAGCTAATGCGGGTACGATCACTCACAAAGGGGCAGCAGCAGTTGCTCTAGCGCTAGAGTTCAAAGCCACATCAGTGTTGTACGGTAATCAAGGATGGGATTTAATTACATACGCTTTCCACACGTTTGGCTCGTGTGCAATATCAGTTGGCCGAAGAATTTGGGTATCTGTAGGACACTGAGATGAATGCGAATAATGGGATGATCGGCACTTGTACTGACCCCCTTGATCCTCCGGTTCGCTAACGGTATTGAAGTTACCAATCACAAACGCCCCTGTTTCCCTAGATATGCTAGTAGTCACCACCCCAATTTTAGAGTTTGATTGGAGACTTCCGCGCGGATCGTCCCGGCTGGGGCCAAACATGAGACGATTCTCGCCAAACACGCTTTTAAGGGCATCGTCAAAGACTCGAGCATCATAACAGCTATCATGAAGTAACCAGTGAAGCCATCGACCCATATTTCCAAGCATCGAGCCACTCCGGTATGTGAAATTGAGCAGCGCAAAAGGCGACCGGCGCCTTGAACGAAAGATTCGCCGCGCTAGCTCCTCAAATATCCCCGAGCATGTTGAAATGTTCCACGTCATGATAAACAGACCAATGGCGATGAGGCCGCCTGTGTTGGTTGGTTGGTCAATTTTGTGGCTTAGGGACGAAGGAAAAAACTGCCTCGACTAATGAAAAACCTACCCGAACTCGTGCCAAGCGCAAGGTCCACGACATCCTGGATCCGACATGGATGTAAATGTTCCTGGATAAGGAGGAGAAACTCCAGTGGAATGACACCCCTGACACCCCCTCCGTCAATCGCCAATACGGAGGGGCTCATTGTTGGTGGTAATATGCTCGCGACCAGGGGCCTTTGGTAAAGACAGTAAATACAACCCCTGATCGTAAATTGATATTCCAGCCCAACAGTTGGTGTGCCGAAAACGTGCGCGCAGCGGTCGCATAGGGTGTGTCCGCAGCCAAGGACATGCTGCGCGGTTTGAAATACGCAGTACAGACAGATGGTGTTACTCCGTATTCGGCACAACCAACCGCTTTGGGACGCGAGTTGGCTTTTGCGGAGCTCGACTGCCGTCTGGTCGGTTTGCACAAGTGCGTCAAATAAATCAATGAGATGCGCCTCCACTTCACTAGCTTGATCCTCAGACGGTCGATCTGGCCAATAGCCTGCGCGCTCGTGGTAGGCGTCTACAATCGCCGATCGATACAAGGTCCGAAAAACCATACGTGGGTCCAACACTACAGTAGAGTTCGTTAAATTTGCCACTCGGAGGAAACTTGCAACGAAGAATTATCTGACTTAGCATCCCAGGGACATAATTGTCCATCAACACGGCAGAGGCAATTGTTGGTGCGATGTGCGGCCCGCGCACTCCTGCCTTAACACAAGCGTCGAGGTAGTAAACGACATTGGGTTTTATATAGGGGTTCACTGTATAGATCGCTCTGGTAGCCCAGATCAAGTCAAAAGGGGTTGAAGGATTCACCAGGAGTTGCTGAAACGCGGCCTGGAAGAGATCCGCCATCTGTTCGGCATTAGGTCGGACTCGCTGCTTCTCTCGCACGGATCTCGTTGCGTCTAGCTCCCGCCCCACAAGAGCTCTTAATGGCTCGCAGCGTGCGGTATCAGATAGCGCCGTTGGTTTGAGATGTACCGTCGTAATCTCCGCGAAAGATCCACAAACGCTAGCAAATTCCGGCTCGTGGAGCATCTTGTGTAACGTGAATGCTGGGGTATTGCCTCTACCATCATCCCGTTCTCCTTCGGATATCAAAATAAGTCGTGGTAAAAGCCTAGCTAAAAGAGAGTGGGCGGGTCGGACGTTTGAGAATATGGTCAACAGCTCCAGGATTTTTTCGTGATCAGGGAAATCATTCAAAAATATGCAAATAACATCCGTAAACAAAAATACCAACTGCGCCCACAACACAAGCAACACGTCCTGAGCCGAGCCGCATTCCCAAAAGATGGGGTGACCCACCCCGGCGCTTAGCCGTTTCAACGGTGATTTGCGATCATTTTGACCGATGTCCCCATCTACAAAGAGAGTTGGCTGCCGGCAGCCCAAGGAAGCAACGTCACTCCTCAGCCTCACCTTGTAGCTCGAAACATGGCGCTTAATATTATTCCAAGGGTATAATTTCTGGAGAATGTGGTCCTTACAACGGCCACCTATGTACGCACAGACAGATGGGTATTTTTCTTTCGGATTGTCCAGTTGGGAAACAATATTCTTCAGACGTTCGCTATTAATAATAGCAGGTCTGGAATCTTCCTGTCTTCCAATATCTAGCCACCCGATGTGCTCCTTTTGCGACACAGTAGATGATGGATAGATTTTAGAAGGATCAAGAGGGATTCTTTTCTTTTTATATGAAAATATAGTAAAATGGTTAGTACTGTTGAACATTATTTTTTCATCTTTTTTCAACTCGCTTTATTCAACCAACTTAGGTCGTTTCATATGAAAGTATTACAAGGGTCATATCTCCGTATCTCACCCTCTCAGCCGTTAAGGAAACGCTCTAGAACACTCTAGACAGTATCCCCCCAAGGCAAGTATTTCTGAACAAATCCACACATGGGTGATTGAAGGTGATAAGTACTTTGGCTCTCACCCTTGTAACAACCACATCCAATGGCTAGGGGATAAAAACCAACAACCCACTTCCGTAGACTCACGCAATGTCTCACTTGACCTTTTCCTATGCAAGAGCCGTCAAAAATGGCAAGCATAAAAGCAGGGTAGGAGAGAACAGCAGTAGCAGGGGTGATGAGGACAATTAATTTGGCTAGTGCCTAGCCCCCATGTCGACGCTGGATTTTATAAGAACCTCTTATAGGTACCATGTCGAGCCATACCCTTTTCCTGTTCAATGGCCAGCACCATTTACAATATGTCTGACTCAGTCTGGTGCAATGATACGTCTGACAACACCCGATTTGACCATCCTTTTTCCCAAGACATCCACATAGACGAAGACTTGATGGGGTCTTTACTACATAATGTAGATGACTATGGCGCCGGGTTCGTTGATTTCGATACCTCGGTCAATGAAGAAAGGTAGGCTCCTTGTATCTGTGATGGTCTCTAATGTATGAATAATTAACAGTAACTATAGTCTGCGGGGTTTAGGAATGTCTGCGTTAAGCGTCAGCAGCCTACTCAGGTCTGCCAACGACGCTGTCTCGGTTATCAATTCTCTCGACGCATCGATAAATAATCTGATCCGGGCTCTTGGGTGTTCAAACGAAATCAGCACGGGAATTGAAAGCTTGAAAGGCTCAGTCAATCATTTGAACACGTTGACTGCTAGTCTGTCCCGACGACTTGATGCGTTTATGGACTTGGCTGAACAATTTGAAAACAAAGTCGCTCGTGGCCTAGACAGCGTGGACGCATTGGAGAGCCTGCTAGGACGTGTGGTCAGACTTGAACAAACCGCAATGGAAAGAATCGAGAACCTGGCAATTCGTGCAAGGAGCAAAGATATTCGGGAGTCGTGTGATCGTTGAGTGCATGGATAGGTAGCAGTTCTACATGATCAGAAATGACGGAATGGAGAGGCTTTTTGATTGTTTTATTTAAGCTTAATATCAATATCGATAAAAACATATATAAAAAATCTCTTTAATATAATATTCATGCAACTGTATGTATTAAAGAACCCAACATCGTGATATATATGCCAACCTTTAGCTCGAGTCAATTGCGAAAGCTAACTGCCTAGGAACCTTAAAGGTTGCCCTCTGGGGCTTGGTCCAAGTTGAAGTCCCATAAGCTCAAGTATCGGCGCTCAGCTTCTTGTAGATTTGCCATCGATTCAGTGATTGCATCTTCCATCAAGCTAAAGATCCCGCTCATTCTCTCATGAAATTCTAAAAATATTTGTTTGCTCTCTTTATGCCACTGTAATTCAGCTTTCAGATAGCTGGCCTCATACACATGTTGCTCCAACTGAGTTTTGAAGTCTGGCGAGCGGCATTTCGCAGGCTGAAGGCGGGATTGTAGTCTTTCGATCGTTGAGGAGCTTCCCCCATTGCGAAGGACCTCATGATCTGCCGGGCTTATTTCTTCGGAAATAGGAGCTAGACGTTGAGGGGAATAACGGTTCATTTTCGATTTTCTGGGGAAGTATACGGCAGAGAGAAGATTCTCTCTAGAGGGTTGGCTTCACGATATTTGAAGGGTCTAAAAATCACCGACCCACTTTGACATCTTCTTGCGACCCAAATTTGGTTCACAAAAGGGTCAAACCTCGCAGGCTAAAGAATGTGAATCTCATTTATTCGTGGTAGAGACAAGCGCTAATGCAGGCCGGGTGGTCCGCATGGTGAGAGGGTCATGGGACCTGACAGCTGCCAGGGTCAGCAACGAAACCATCTAATGATAGGGTCGCACCTGGGGATGATGAGATCGCTTTTAGAATTGCAACAAACTATCAACTATCATACCCCTATCTCGAGTCTTTACACCTTTCTCGGTCTGTTGTCTTGGTCAGGTGGCGTACGGTAGTGTGGCAATAATATGACCCCT